AAACAGCTGTCTGATCATGATACGTACACCTCTACCCCGGCAAGCACTACATTTCTGAACGGCTCCAGACTTCCCACCCTGCCTAGAATAGAAAGCAGCAGTTGCATAAAAACAAGTTTTTCAGAAACATGTGACAAAAAGACATCAACAGTAGCAGGTTAGCATGCCTAATTGCACCACCATTTTATTTAGGCTTCCCCTCCTTAGTCCCCCCTAACAAAGCACTTGAGTAGTTCTAGTTCCATCAACAGTATCATTCAAGTTTAAAAATCTTCTAGTCTGAGAATAGGCTCCAGTGAGTCAAATACTAATAAAAATCTGACATATGAGGTGCTTCATTACACTATATGCTGACAAAGCAACCAGAGAACTCAAAAATATAAGCAAACTTACCCATTACATGCACTACAAAGGACATTCTTGCTAAGTTGTAGTTTAGTTGTCTTTCCATTATACAAATCTTCTAAAGAGACTCTACAAAATAAATGATAACCCAGGAGAAAACGCTTTAACAACTTACTTTCCCCATGTAATTAAAATACTTTCCAAGGACAAACTATTAAAAAAAAAAAGGGTGATCTTCATAAAAAACTAAAACAATCTGCTATTAGAATAAGACTTTAAAGCAGCCTTTTAGGTTTCACAGTCACCAAAAATATTCCATCTATATGAACATGTAGATATAATCCTTAACATAATTTCATATAAAAGCTTCAGATTCAATCAGCAGAAACCAGATAGGACTAGTTGTGCTTCTTAACAGGAAACAAGCTGATCTAGCGTTTTAGGTTTTATTACACAGTGCATCTAATTTTTCAGTTCTGCCAGGCAAGTGGGAAATAAACCTCTTCCTAGACTATCCTGACAACGTTGATAACATATATGCATAAGAATACATACTGAGCATTTCAATTTAACACTACCCTGGGCCTTCCACTGAAAAATACAAGTTAGTACTTTGTTGCCATGTTCCCAAGGCTACTCACTTTATTCTTTACATTTGTTCATGTTTCAATTTTTCAGAAGCCTTTGAATGCCACCTGCAAACTCCAATAACCTTCAGATATTAATAGAAGTTTCTAAACCCATTTTGTGTACAAGAAGCTTTGTAAGTTAGTGGATAGAAAATTTAACTCAGTGTATTTTGAGCTAGAAAAGGTTGCCTGGCATCAGTGTTTACAAATAATTACGAAGACACAAAGCTAATGAATAATATAGTACGCAGTACTAGCTACTAAACTAAGCAAGCATAAAAAAGTAAACAGATTTGCTAAGCAAAGTTTGCCAACCACGGAAAAGGTATATCCTAACTTGCAAAGAACTTAGAAAGGAGATGCTCAGCAGACAAAAAGCCAGTCATGACTGCCAGTGTGCAAGTGGAGACTTATCAAACATCAGATCTATTTTTCAAGCAGGTTTTTTTTTTTTTTTTTTGGACAGAGAGAGACTTTTCTATTAATTGCACAGTTTGTATTTACTTCCAGCTGGTACTAAGCTACAAATGCAAGTCAACTAAATAAGTTTTTCCAGAGCTTTAGCACCTCGGCTTTCTTAATCCAGCTAATGAGTAAATACTTAGTTGTTGGATGCATTTTCAGATTAGAACTTCTCAAGCTTATTTAAGAAGTAAAACTAGGGAAAATGATGCTGACAAACCAAGTTTTTTATGGTCTATTAACCACATAAGCAGAGCATTAGGTAGATCTGCAATTGTGAAAAGTAACTTAAGTGCTGTCCAGGCTATTTGTGACACACAATTCTGAAGAGTAGGTGCAGACCGCAGAACATCTCAACTGAGGAGCGTGTCGAGAACATATACTAGGTAAGTCAAGTACTACTGATCAGCAAAGCCAGAAAGTGAATATAAATTGCAGTATCAAGATACTCACTTGAGCGGATGCATCATATCTTCTCCTCTTCTTCTACCATTACGACTTCTACTCTGACCACCCATGAAATTGAACAATCCACCACCAAAGATGTGGGAGAAAATATCGTCCATTCCACTGCTTCCACCGCTACCTTCTCGAAGGCCCTGTTCTCCATATCTATCATACAACTCACGTTTCTCCGGATTTGACAATACTTCATAGGCAAAGCTTATTTCTTTGAACTAGAAGAGGGACAGAGTCAAAAAAGCCCATGATAATTTAGAACTTCAGGGGAACATTACACTACTGTTTCTTACCCGACATCAACACTTGATTAATAAGGTATACAACAGAACAGTTTTCCACTCCTGTTCATAAGTACCTAAAAGCAGACTTGGCCTTAGTTGTGTTACCGCATTTAAAAACAAAACAAAAACTACATATTATCGCACGTATCCCACTGACTTGCTCTTTGCTGTGCCTAGCACAAGACTGTTTTCCTTCCCTCCAAGGCCCTATTTGAAGAAAATTGAATACACGATACTGCAGGAGCCAACAGGTAAAAATAAACATTACACACTAACAGCAAAGACTGCAAGACTTGTTAGCACTTAAAATAGCTTAACAACTGGGCGTCTTATGCAAAAGCACATTAACATGTTTGTCTACAAAACAAATTAGTATCATTTCATAGTCATGTTAATCCATTTCTTATCAACCATTAAAACCTCAGTTCTGTTAAGAAGACTCAGCTGAACTGAAATGCCCAACTTAATTGGAATTTTTTGTTGCTATTAGCACAATATATATCTAATTCCACCTTCCCACATGCGTAATTTGTTTCATGTTGTGGCAGTTTCAGTGTCTGCTTCACCCTCAAAAACCTCTGTACATACATACTTTACAAGTTAGCATAATCCTTAGAAAGATCAGGAAAATTAATTCTTTGTTTTTCAAATACCTATATAAATACCAGTTGACATCATCTTGGCAGATGAAGAGAGGCAATTTTCCTCTTAGCATGACTTTCTCAACCTGTTTGCCTCAGCAAACTGCTTCATTTTGTCATGAGGTAAGTAGGGAGGTTTTGAGATTGGGAAGAAGCAGACAAGGCAGAGTTCCATCTCACATTACTTATTATTTCCAAACAACCTGTAACAGCAGGGCCTCAACACCTGTATTTGATCCCTTAGATGTTATTGCAATAGCAAGTTTTAGAAGTTTTAAAAAAAAAAAAAAAGGCAAACTTACTTTGTCCCCTGCATTTGGATTCTTATCAGGGTGGTATTCCTTGGCCAGCTTTCTGTATGCCTAGTTGAAAGAAGTACAGAATTAGTTTCTATTATGATTAATCTGTCCTTTTTCAAGAAACTCAGTGTAGGGTCTTCTTTTTAGTAAGAAAATCTTAATAAAACAAACAAAGTGAGAAAAAGAGCGTTTTGAAATCACTCATACATCTAAGTTTTATTTGAAATACCTGATTCTACTGTATGCACAAACAACACACTCTTGGATTTAAACACAACTATACCACACAATAGCTAGAATTAATCTTCCTGCTTCTCTTCATTAACTTAGGTGAAAAAATATATTGGAATACGCACTATATCATTAAAATTACTTAACTATGTAAATCACCCAAAACCTATAATAAGACAATCTAAGTTTCAACCCATTTGTGCCTCACCTCAATTTCAGCAATATATTAACAACAAAATGGCTGCCATAGCTTCTCAACCAACCCTATCAGTTGATCCCCATAAATAATCAATTTATTCTTCCTTACCTATCAATAAAGGAAAATTTCATCTCACTCTAAACTAAGTATGTGTGTTACACATGCAGAAATACACAGACCGGTCCATTTGATGCAATTCCATTGTTCTAAAGCAGCCGGAGGAATAAATACAGCCAAATCCCCAAAAGAGAGTTTTCAAGATGTTTTTTTGACCGGTACTTTGCAACTCCCAGCATCATCATTTTTTTCCTACAGCGGTACTTCACCTATTCTCCTTCCAATTTGGAGGACTGAAGTAAATGCAACTGAAGATACTTTTATGTTAGTTATGATGGACAGTCAAAAGCTTTTCCTCTGGCGTTTTTGAGGGTAAAGTGCTAAACTCTCCCCCCACTCCACTCCAGCATCCCCCAATAACAACCAGAGGATAGATATTAGTAAGTTAATCACATAACATTAAAAAAAAAACCTTGATTTTTGCACCGCACATATCAAAAGCATGTTAGCTACAACGACCTACAAATGTGACTGCAAACTGAAACATTCCAGTTCTTACAGTGGATTTTTTAAGCAGCTCTTTTCTTGCTTAATCGAACACTTAAATTAGCTCTTTAAAAACCACAGCTTTAGGGGAGCTTTACAAAAAGGGCTTCATAGAGATCACAACTTCCCATTATGTTCTGGAACAGGTAAAATTACTTTTTTTTTTTTTTTTTTAATATTTTTGACAGTCACTCCTCTTTACTGATATATCTTGAAACACCCAGTGCTTGTGCACAGATTCAAGGAAAAAGGTCAACGATAAAAAGCAACTAATGAAATAAAAATAGAACATCGATACTATAAGCCTAATATTCTAAGGCAAACTTACTTTGTCCCCTGCATTTGGATTCTTATCAGGGTGGTATTCCTTGGCCAGCTTTCTGTATGCCTAGTTGAAAGAAGTACAGAATTAGTTTCTATTATGATTAATCTGTCCTTTTTCAAGAAACTCAGTGTAGGGTCTTCTTTTTAGTAAGAAAATCTTAATAAAACAAACAAAGTGAGAAAAAGAGCGTTTTGAAATCACTCATACATCTAAGTTTTATTTGAAATACCTGATTCTACTGTATGCACAAACAACACACTCTTGGATTTAAACACAACTATACCACACAATAGCTAGAATTAATCTTCCTGCTTCTCTTCATTAACTTAGGTGAAAAAATATATTGGAATACGCACTATATCATTAAAATTACTTAACTATGTAAATCACCCAAAACCTATAATAAGACAATCTAAGTTTCAACCCATTTGTGCCTCACCTCAATTTCAGCAATATATTAACAACAAAATGGCTGCCATAGCTTCTCAACCAACCCTATCAGTTGATCCCCATAAATAATCAATTTATTCTTCCTTACCTATCAATAAAGGAAAATTTCATCTCACTCTAAACTAAGTATGTGTGTTACACATGCAGAAATACACAGACCGGTCCATTTGATGCAATTCCATTGTTCTAAAGCAGCCGGAGGAATAAATACAGCCAAATCCCCAAAAGAGAGTTTTCAAGATGTTTTTTTGACCGGTACTTTGCAACTCCCAGCATCATCATTTTTTTCCTACAGCGGTACTTCACCTATTCTCCTTCCAATTTGGAGGACTGAAGCAAATGCAACTGAAGATACTTTTATGTTAGTTATGATGGACAGTCAAAAGCTTTTCCTCTGGCGTTTTTGAGGGTAAAGTGCTAAACTCTCCCCCCACTCCACTCCAGCATCCCCCAATAACAACCAGAGGATAGATATTAGTAAGTTAATCACATAACATTAAAAAAAAAACTTGATTTTTGCACCGCACATATCAAAAGCATGTTAGCTACAACGACCTACAAATGTGACTGCAAACTGAAACATTCCAGTTCTTACAGTGGATTTTTTAAGCAGCTCTTTTCTTGCTTAATCGAACACTTAAATTAGCTCTTTAAAAACCACAGCTTTAGGGGAGCTTTACAAAAAGGGCTTCATAGAGATCACAACTTCCCATTATGTTCTGGAACAGGTAAAATTACTTTTTTTTTTTTTTTAATATTTTTGACAGTCACTCCTCTTTACTGATGTATCTTGAAACACCCAGTGCTTGTGCACAGATTCAAGGAAAAAGGTCAACGATAAAAAGCAACTAATGAAATAAAAATAGAACATCGATACTATAAGCCTAATATTCTAAAATACTCAAAGAAGAGTAAAGAACAAAATCAAGTCTTACTAGCAGTAAGAACACATAACCTTACATAAGCATGTGTATTCTGTAACAAAAATGGATTTTCTTTGCATATTTTAAGGCTTTTAATCAAGAGGGGGAAAAAAGCCTATTCTTATAACATTATCAAATCAGGTACAAAGAAGTTTGCCTAGTAATCTTTAAAAAGGGAGAGAGCTCATGTCTTTGTTAAGGAGCATAACAGTTTAGAGCAACCCTAAGACCGGCCATGGCCTAACACTGAGCTACCATTATCAGTTAACCAGAAACAGATCCAGAATCAAGATCTATACTGGCACTGTACTGTAGCTTCTATTATCTTCCACCTATTTTATTTTCTCTTTTCTATACTTTTGTACAGATTAAAATACCAGATTAAGACGTTACGATTAAGACGTTAAGACAACGTCCAAACAATTTCTCAGTGACAGTAAGATACGGTTGAACTTCTCACTGCTGCAGGTAGTTGGAAAGTTTGCTATTGCAATACCTTAAACTTAACCTTGGTATGTAAGTAATACTGAGCAGCACAGGTTACTTCAGTGGAAGAAAACAATTGCTGCCATTTCTTCATTCTTACAAGAAACAAGATATTTTTAACAGACTTCAGTTAAATAAAACACTGCTCGATTATATTCAATAACATACAGCAGTATCTTCTTACCGCATGCTTACCACCTCTAACACTATTTCAACACTGCGATTGCCTATCCCTGAACAAATTAGGCTACCACATGCATGATGGGTAAAACATAATTGTTAATAGCAGCACCACCCATCAGCAGAAGCAGGTCACTGCTAGTAAACTGCCTAGTTAACCACCATTTACAAGTGAAAAAGGATAACAACGTCCCTTCGGAAAACGTGGTTTATATATTAGAGAATGAAGTGAAAGGGATGCAATAAATTATTACACTGACAACCAGGCTTACAGTTTTTACCTCATTTCTTTGTCTTACCTTAGTGCTTTCAGCCTAAAAGGAACTAAATGAGCGAGCAAAGTAGAACCTTAACGAGGCTTGTAAGTGCCTCAAACAATGGCCCCAAGTCAGAATCTACTGGTTCCTCACTAGGATTTTCCACCCGAAAAGCCTTCTGCCGCTTGCGAACATGGCTCCGGGGCGGCGAAGGGAGACGGGGCTGCGGGGGCGAGAGGCGCGGGGTCTCCCGGTGGGGCCTACAGGCAACGGGGAGCCCTGGCGACACCGGGCCGGGGCACCGGGGCGGGGGGGGAAGGCTGGGCCCTGACGCCGGCCCCCCTCTCCTGGGGGCCTGCCCGCGGCCTACCCCGCTCCACCAGCACGCCAGGCCCCAGCGGCCCCGCGGCGCGGCCTAGCCCGGCGGCTCAGGCAGCACCGG